CTCCTTTGTTTATGTTCGTACCGTTTGCACTTTGTTCTCTCTCGGGTTACTGCGGACGTAGTCTCTGATCAGACTCCTTGTTGGTGTAGGAAGTCCAAATCACAACCAAGCGCTGCAATTTTAGCGACGTTCATTGCCCTGATGTTCAGCAAAGTCTCTTGGCTGTAAGTTTTGCGGAACAAACGTCTGGGATAGACAAGACACTCAAAACGTTTACTTTCATTGTCTCCTGAAGGGGTCGCTGCGTCCATGCGCGCTGCCACTTCTGTAGCATCTCTATTTGCAAAATGATATGATTTGAGTACAAAATATGATGCTTTGTCACAGGATAAAGCACCCGACACTGTATAAAATTGTTCAAATTAGTTCCAGCTCAAACCAATTACAGACAGAAAGTAGTACTTATTTAATCATTTATTTCTAATTATAATGATCCCAATTATATGATATAGTTAGACTACCAAGACCACTGTGTATATAGACTACTTGAAGTACATTTAATCATGAAAACTTTTACTTTAGAATACTTTGAATCTAAGATTTTAATAGCAAAGTATTGCAAAGTTTGTAGAAGTAAATGATTTGAATATTCTTTCCACAACTAACTGTTAAGAATACATGTAATAACACATTTCAGACTGTTTTAGCTACATTTGCTTTTATTTTGAAGTTGTTTCAGTTATGTTAAGTCATGACAGTCAACAGATGTGATATTCGTAACATAGGATCATCGTCATCATATAGTTAAAGTATTTTGCATGTGAATAACATAAACTGCCCGTGTTTTCAGTAACATTGTTGCTTTTTTGAAACCTAATCGCTCAACATGTAGGAGAGCAGAAAAAGTTTTGTTTCATGTCTGTACATGCATGTGACTTTCTGACTATGTGGGGTTTTCATTTATTCCTGTTCCCAGTGTGCTATTAAAGCCTGTGCTTTTATGGTTTCCGCGATCAGGTCTGGATGCCCCCCTGCATCAGTATATGTTGTCAGAGTGGCACCTGTCAGGTGTGGAACTGCTCCAGCTGACTTCTCCTGATCTGGAGAGGTTTGGGGTCCGTAAGATTGGACACCAGGAGCTCATCCTGGAGGCCGTGGAGAAGCTCTGCTCCCTGGTGAGTGACAAAGCAGAATGACTTGTGTTTGTTTACAGCGTACGTCCCAGGCAGCGCTCTGTGTAACCAAGGCTGCTGTTTGTTGGCTGTGTTGTGGATGTAATGTGCGAGGAGAAGTCATCATCTTGTGACACTGTGTTGTTGTGTATGTTCTGATACTGTAGCACAGAGATAAAGGTTTTTGCAGCTATACAGTATTTTTAGATTTTGCTTTTATTTCCCTAGCAGAACCAGTAGCCGTGGATGACCTTTTTGCAAATCCAGTTACACTACACAACAGCTGCTCTCATTGCCATTTAAGTCCTGCTTTTCAGCAACGTGTGACAAATTTGCGTTCTTTTCTTCACTTTGCTTTCACTTAAACATCTAACGTCCCCTTACTCGAGCACATCATGGTAAAAACAATACATATTTTTCCAACCAACATCAAAGAACTTGTCATGCTTCAACTGTAACCAAGGCAGAATTAGGATACAAAAGCTTACGCCAAATACTCTACATGCAAAAAAAAACGCCTCCACCCCTCCCATTTGATTCTCTGTCCCTTTTCTTGGTGCCTAATTAATTTCCCGCCCTCTTCAGTTTTGAGACAGGAGACTTAAATAGTGTGTGTGTGTGTGTGTGTGTGTGTGTGTGTGTGTGTGGAGGGGGGGTTTGTGAGTTTCCAGAATGGCTTCACTGGATGCACTAATTGAGCAGGGCAGTACCAGGCAAGGATCCAGCTCTGGTGGTGTAACAGCCTGTAGACGTCAGGCTAAAGCTCAGGCCGCTTAAACTGCTTGTTGTCGAATTGTGGAAACAACAGTAATACTGGCTGAATGAGCCATTGCGACATTTACAGCTAGACCTGCTGTTTCAATCTGAATGTGTGAATAGAATTGTCCTGTGGTAAAAAGCTTTTACCTTGCGTATGTGGGTGCATGTGTCTGCCTGTCCTCCCTCTCTGACTTGATACTCCGTGTAACACTAACACTGCGCTCATTCATAACAAAAACAACAAAACACACATCCAGTGCTCACATGGAAAGGGCCAGACAGATTCAAGTGCACGGTTACATAATTAACAGCTACAATATTGAAAAGGCCATGAATTTTTCATGGCCACTTGTTGACGGGTTTGTTGTTGGGGCCGGTCGATGTGTTCCACCAAAGCCTGGCCGGTCCAAACCTCTTGACCATGAGCGAGTGGGTCACGACAATACAATGCTCCATCTTCAGTGGCTTTGAAGAGTCACGTCTCATGCCACCGGGCGGAACACTGGGGTGACAGGCCAATGAAAGAGGCACGAGAAACTCTGTGTTGTTGAAGGACCCTTAATGTTATCTTAGTAATTTTTTTTATTGATTGCTTCAGTGCTTCAGTTTGATTTGGGAGCTGTGAGGGTATCACGTTTGTGGTGCCTTTGATGCGTACTGCATTATCATCTGAGGGTTTATCTAATATGTATTCCAGGGCTGCGGGTTTTATATATATATACTGCTTTATAAAATGGGGTGTTTCAATTTAACGTATTTGAGTCAATCAAGTCCGCGTGGGCAGCGTTGAAACGTGTTTTATTGCAATATTGTCTATGATTTTTGGTTTTTACCTTCTCAGGCATTTGCTGAAATAGCCAATGACAGATATGACTGCAGTTCCCCAAGATCAGTATCATGATATGAAATAACACATCCTCTTGGGGAAGTATTTTTTTCTACCTATGCCATGACATTTTCTGTTGTAAAATAGCTAAAAATGCAGATTTTGTTTTCACCACAGTCATTCCATCATAAATCAACAAATGTTTAGAACATTTTTTACTAGACTAACTCTAATTTACGAGATTTTCTTTGTAGTATAAAATATGGATATTTATAAAGATATTTATGAAATGTTTGCTTGACATATCAAATACTGTTGAAGATTGTTATTAAATTGCCGGTCTATGGGGGCATTATTGTAGCAAAACTATTTGTTCATGCGTATGGAGAGTTGTCTGTCTGTATCTCAATCCATTCGTCCGAAGTGACATTTGTCAGTCTGTAAAGGAAGTTGTTGATGCGAACCGGAATCTGCAAAAGTGGTCTCACAATTTGTCTGTCTGTATTCAGGTTTTCAAATGTGTAAAACATCTACTCATCTGTATTAAAATGTGGACATGTAATAAGAGTTATCAATGCATACGGAGGTATTCATAGTTGAAAAGTCTATGTTTTCGAGTCGAGCGGCTTCCCCATTGGCTGTCTTTTCACACATTATTTTTGCTACACTTCTACCGTGGGAGAATCTGAAACTGAAGAGTATCTAAAAACCAGGGTTTCTGTGTCCTGAGCTCAGGCTCACAGGATTGTTCATTGTGGCTGCTGCCGCTCTGCTGCTCTGTACCTCAGTAGTTATGCCATCTGCAAGCTAAGGAATTTGCTCAGTGATACATAAACTCAGCAGATCTAACTTGTTCACACATACCTGTAATATTATATTTTTTAAAAGGCTCAGCAATTGCCTCACTAATTATGCAAACTGCAAAAAACATTTACATGTACTCAGTGTGTCCGGTCGGGATTCCATCATTGTCTGCACCCTGCCTCACAATGTTCAAAGACTCTGATGCATAGCACCGCCTGATGGTTTTCAATTGTACAATTCTACAATTTCATTTAGCAGACCTTCATTTGACAGACTGAGAACAAACAAACAAACAAAAATAAAAAACAAAAAAATATTCCTATTACCTCCCGACAGCCTGCTATTGGCATCAACGCCATATCACACTTGAACTTGTTCTATGGCCCTTATCCAGATTGTTTTCTCCTGACCAGATCCTTGCTTGTTTTATATCTGCTCTCAGATGTGCATCGCTTTGGATAAAGGCATCTGCTAAATAAAATTGTAGAACTGGTGGCTTGTAGGCGGCGTAACTACTGAGGTACAGAGCAGCAGAGCGGCAGCAGCCATAGTGAACAATCCTGTGAGCCTGAACTCAGGACACAGAAACCCTGATTTTTAGATATTCTTCAGTTTCAGATCTCTCACAGTAGAAGTGTAGCAAAAGTCATCAAAAGACAGCAAACTACGAATACCTCTGTACACATTGACAACTCTTTGTACGCATTGACAACTCTTATTACATGTCCACATTTTAATACAGATGAGCAGATTTTTTACAAATTTGAAAACCTGATTAAAGACAGACAAACTGTGAGACGGGTTTTGTGGATTCTAGTTCGCATTGACAACTTCTTTTACACATTGACAAATGTCACTTTGGACGAACGGATTGAGATACAGACAGACAACTCTCCAACTGCATGGACAAATAGTTTTGCTATGATAATGCTCCCATACCCGTCAACCTACTTTCTGCATGTTTTGGGTAATTTTTTGGCATTGAAAGTTTAGATTCTATGTCAGAATGACAGTCTCTCAGGAACTATTGAAGATGAAAGCCTGAAATCTTTAGTGTTATTTCTCATCGTGTAATTGATTCAGATTCTGCAATATTGTGCCTGTTCAATCAGTTACAAAAGTTAAATAAAAATAACGTTTGTGTAATTTTTGTAATGTTTAGCCCTATTCAGGACTTGTGGGGTCTTTTGGACCCCAGGTCATTTGATTCAGGAGAAAAAAATATATAATATAAAATGAGGGACATTTGTAATGCAGTTGGAACCAAAAATACGTCAACTTATCAGAAAATGTATTCAACATAGTATAAAAGTCTATATTGAATACCAACAAATATTTTGCACATATTCTTTCTTGAGGTCCAATGGACCCTGAAAGACCTTCTACGTATGGCAAAATGAAAGTCCTGAATAGGGTTAATGTAATATTAATAATGTGTAATGTAATGATTTGATGTCTACTTATGGTTCAGAAAAATATCACTAGTTGACTTGACATTATCAATTTTTTTCTTAATGTGTGCTCAAAGATGGGACTTTTCATTTTTCTTTTTTTCATACTTCAACCCACCCATAATCTGAGACGATTTGATCTACTTGTCCAATATTGCAGATTTTGCATCAATTGCATGGGGAGAAATAACACACTGACATTTTCATGCAGTCATTTTTAATAGTTTCTGAGATATTGTGGTTTAATCATAGGAAGGTGCCTGATATATGATTCTAACGTTATAAATATCCACGTTTAATAATGACAAAGTTTCATAAAAATCAGATTATCAGGTTTTTCGTCACTCAAAGGGGAATAAATTCATCTCAGAAGAAGAAGCGACACAGTTTTCTCCCCTACCACTAGACCAATATGCTGCACATCAACATGACATGCTGTATTTTGTGTGAGCAGCACAGCATTTGCTCAGTTTTCACTCTGTGATGACAAAAACAGCCGGTCTGTATGGTCACTGCACCTGTTTGCACAGTTATTTAAAAGAGCATGCCGGGGGATGTTTTTGGAGGATTTTGTGGTCATTTTATGACTTTATTCAGAAGCAGACAGTAGAAAAATGAACAGGAAATGAAAAGAGCCACATCATGTGCAACTTAGATTCTCTACCAGAATCAGAATTGGAATGTTGTGATCACAAAATATGAAATGAGACCTCTCAGTTGTGGTAATCATTGAGGGATGGTAGGTAGGGTGGGGAAAATAATGCATTAAACTCACACATATGTATATAAAAGAGTGTGAGAGCATCTCAGGAGTGGAAACAACTCTAACCCAGTTATATATGTGTGTGTTTTCACTCTCCAGACTTATGGTATAGGAGGAGAGAACCTGCGTGGTCTGACAGAGAAGCTGCGTGCCGTTGCCCACGCCCTGCAGATGGGCATCCAGGGCCGCTGGCGCCTCAACACCTATGACGGACGCAGCACCACCAAGCTGCCTACCTGCATTCTGCAGATTGTTGTGGAGCTCATCACCTCTGCCAAAGGCCTGTTCTCTTTGCTCAATAGGTTGGTAAAGAGGCAGTTATCTAACCGTTATATATGCAGCACTTGAAATCCTGTTTTATTCTGCCGTTATTTATAAATCTGAATTGTACTCTGCTGGGTCTCACGAGCATATTTCTGGCTGTTGCTTTTTTGGTAATGGTTTTATGTAAAAATGATGGCTGTGAGGTATAACCTTTATTTCAGAATGTTTTTGTGTATGTGTTCGCTTCTTGTTTACATGCTTTCTCTTGTAAAAAAAAAAAAAAATGCTGATATACGAGGAGTCAGAACATTCTATAAAAGTCTACCTATCCTTTTGGGCGGCTTCCTAAGATCTTGAATTTGTGTCTTTATTTTAATTACTAGTGTAAAAAGAAATCAGTGTACCTGCTTTTTATCTCAGAAATATATTTTTACTGTAATCCCTGTCTTACCAGACACCAGTTTGCCCAACTCAGTGGCTACACCACCACCAAAAACATCTTCACTTACTGCAAAGAGCTGGGAGACATTGTGCACAAGGTAGGTTTGTTTGTTTCAATAAACAGCTTAGAAGTCTGGTTGTTGCTTTGTTGAGTTACTTACAAATGCGTTTTTATAATTATAGTCTGAAGTGCCAACATTTGTTCATCTGTTTTTGTTTTTTTTCCCATTTCCATTAAACATCTGGATTTTTCAGCAAAATGTAAGAATACAAAGTCCACAACTTGTGTTCGTTTAATACATTTTATATGGGGGCATTATTGTAGCAAAACCATTTGTCCATACATATGGAGAGTTGTCTGTCTGTGTCTCAATCCGTTCGTCCGAAGTGAGATTTGTCAATGTGTAGAAGAAGTTGTCAATGTGAACCGGAATCTGCAAAAGTCGTCTCACAGTTTGTCTGTCTGTAATAAGGTTTTCAAATGTGTAAAAAAATCTGCTCATCTGTATTAAAATGTGGACATGTAATAAGAGTTGTCAATGCATACGGAGGTATTCGTAGTTGAAAAGTCTACGTATTCGAGTCGAGCGGCTTCCCCATTGGCTGTTGACTTTTGCTACACTTCTACTGTGAAAGAATCTAAAACTGAAGAATATCTAAAAACCAGGGTTTCTGTGTCCTGAGCTCAGGCTCACAGGATCGTTCATTGTGGCTGCTCTCTACCTCAGTAGTTATGCGGCCTGCAAGCTATCATGAAGGAGTTTACTCAGTGATACATAAACTCAGCAGATCTAACTTGTTCACACATACCTGTAATATTATATTTCTAGAAGGCTCAGCAATTGCCTCACTAATTATACAAGCTGCATAAAACATTTACATGTACTCAGTGTGTACTCGTTGTCTGCATCCTGCCTCACAATGTTGCGAACACTCAAAGACTCATTTAGCAGACCTTCATTTGACAGACTGAAAACAAACAAACAAATTTTTTAAAAATTCCTATTACCTCCCGACAGCCTATTGGCATCAACGCCATATCACACTTGAACTTGTTCTATGGCCCTTATTTAGATTGTTTTCTCCTGACCAGATCCTTGCTTGTTTTATATCTGCTCTCAGATGTATGTCGCTTTGGATAAAAGTGTCTGCTAAATAAAATTGTAGAACTGGTGCCTTGCAGGCGGCGTAACTACTGAGGTACAGAGCAGCAGAGCGGCAGCAGCCACAATGAACGATCCTGTGAGCCTGAGCTCAGGACACAGAAACCCTGGTTTTTAGATACTCTTCAGTTTTAGATTCTCTCACGGTGGAAGTCTCGCAAAAGTCATATGTGAAAAGACAGCCAGTGGGGAAGCCACTCGACTTGAATACGTAGACTTTTCAACTACAAATACCTCTGTACGCATTGATAACTCTTATTACATGTCCACATATTAATGCTAGGGATGGACTGATACCTCTTTTTAATTTCTGATACCGATACCGATACTTCAACTTTGAGTATCTGCCGATACCGATACCATCTCTCCTCCTAAACTTCTTTGGAAATACCTTATTTGCATGGATACATTTGTTTAAGATGCTCTATCAAAAGCCTCATACCATTAACGCATAGCCTCTGCTTTTCTAAGAAAGT